GAGTTGCGGGGAGGGTCCTCCTGCCGGGGTGGGGTGGGGGAAGAGAAGATGTGTTTGTGTCTGTCTGTCTCTCTGTCTGTATGCATGTATGTGAGGTAGGGGGATATAGCTTCACCCGCGTGTGCATGGCCACTACTAGCCTGCTGGCAGTCCTTAAACCCTTCCCCGATGCCATGTTTCAACATCAACTTGCGCACTCACTCACTCACTCACTCATTCACTCACTCACTCACTCACTCATTCACCTGCAGCGGCATGTAGGCGGCCATGATATCGCGAATTTCGTCCCCCATCCGCCGCTTCATGAGCAGGTGGTTGGCGGCCATCACCACAAAGCCCGTGAGGGCCGCGGCGCCCAGAGCCACCAGGACCATGAATCCAGGGTGCACACCGTTACCTGTTGGTTAGGTAGGTGGTTGGTTGGTGGTTAGGTCGGGTGGTATGGGTAAAAAGTGTACATGATGGCATGACTAAAAATATTTCAAAATCAAAGATTTTAATAACTTGTAACTGCAAAGACTCGTAAATAGCATTCCATATGGTCCTATCTTTAATTATCATTATCAGGTGCTAATGTCGCTAATGTCGAGGCGGGATGTGTAATAAAGTTGAGCTAGGACAGAGCAGAGGAGTGAGAAAGTGAGAAAGCGGGGATAGGTAGATAAATAGATAGATAGATATAGAGAGAGAAAGAGAAAGAGAAAGAGAGAGAGAGAGAGACAGGCAGAGAGAGGAAAGGGAAGCGAGCTTTATGAGCGGGAGCAGCATCCATACTAATGTAGACGATAAAAACCCTACGGCCCTACATTGAGCCCTGTACATCGAGAGGCTCATCGGGGAGGCAACCCCGGTGCCGGCCAGGTTGCCATGTTCACGTTCTCGACCCCCCCCCCGCGACCAACCGGCCCCTTTTTACCCATAAACACTTCTCCTCCTCCCTCCCCTCGCCACCTACCGCTCCTCCCAGAGCTGCTGCCGCCCCCTCCTCCTCCTCCCGACGCCTGCGCGAACAACACCAGGTCGCCAAACCAGCGTGTCGCGACAGTTTGATACATTCTGGTTGATGTACGACACAGTTAGTTAACCCCCAGTTAGGTAGGTGGCCATCCAATCGTGCACTCACTTCTTCTTAACTTCGTAGTAGGAAATTATTCCCCGGGATGCATTCATTTGCGATACCTCCCGCACACGTAAAACAAAACACGTTCCCCCCACTAACCCCCCCCAATCCCCCACCTCCGGGCTCCGGCAGAAGCCAAACATCTGGTCGCACTGAGATAGGTCAGAGCACCTAAGCGCGCAGCTTCCGTCGGGGCGCAAATCGAAGCAGGGAGGGCAGTCACCGCACCTACATACATACATACAGACAGACAGACATCGAACAGAAGCAGTCGTTTCGTAGTTCTCCCTTTCTTCCTTACCATGACTTTTAATTGTTGTTGCCGAAATTCCAAAGCAGCAGAAGGGTTAGATGATGGGTACAAGAAGCAAAAGAAATCAGGAAAAGCAAAGCGTGGGGCGAGAAAGCAGTTCGCCCGGGTAAATGACCTTGCGCTGTGATTTTCAAACCTAGGCCGGATGGTCGTACAACGTCGTTGAATTATAAAAACCTTCGGCCGCTGTAAAAGTCCGAAGTAACTTAGAAGCCAACAAGCCCCCAAAGTTTAAAATTAACGAAACAGGGCGAAGCCGTACAACGCTTCAGCGTATTGTACGACCTGAAGGTATGGCAAAAACATCTTAAGTTGTAGTTTTCAGTAGTCAACTAAAAGGTTCTACTAGCCATCCACCACCTAGTCGCCCTTTGACACTACTACTTTTTATTTCTACGGACTCTTGACACCACTCTCTTCTACTCAAATAAACTTTTCTATTTAAAATTATTTAAAAGGTCGTTGTCTACAATTTCTTCATCACGTCGCGAGGTGACAGAGCTCGCTTCGGCAAAGTTATTCATGTACCACTATGTTCGGCACCATATTCCCCCGCATCTCCCCTCCGCTCCGAAGATCACAAAAAACACACGCACACACGCACACTCACCTGTACCACGTATCATTATCCAGCAGCAGGCCCATGTACGACTTCTCCCTATATTCCTGAATCATATCCTGACACCTGGAAAGGACGGGAAGTAAAAGCAGGGATTTTTTATATTATTATTATTATACATAATTGTTCCCTTGGGGAGCGAGTCCAATGTGCCCCGCTTATTCTATTCTTTCAAAATCGGATGGAAGTACGGCATTGCATTGGCCCCATCTAGGGAAATGGGAAGATCATCGGGATGGATCATGACTCCCTCCCGCTGAGCAAGTAGCCCTCTTTACAAAATATATATAACACATAGACATATTAAAAAGAGGGAAATACAACACTTGGCAAATTCAATTACCTCAAGGTTGTCAACACAATAAAATGCCTGTGCGTGCGTGCGACACCTACGCGCGTGCAAGCCACCTCGTACATTAAGGAGCTATTGATGGAGATATCGTACGGATGACATCCTGAAACACACCTGGTCAGAGTCTTCTTCGTGCCTCCCGGTAAGTCAAATGTTTGGGACCAGCAACCGCCGTACTTGTGCGTTTCCGTACACATGTTTTCCCGCTCGCCAGTACACCTAGAGGCGGGTAGTGTGGCCCGGCGGGTGCGCGGACCAGAGGGGGCGCCAAGAGTGAGATGGGGCTCTTCAGAAAACGGGATTTTTAATTTAATTGTTTGGTTTGAACACATTTAACATACATATGAGATATAAAAACATTTATACAAGTTACAAAAATAAATATGATGAAAACCGGCGAACAGAGAAAAACGTCCATGGAGACCCTGGACATGGAACCCTTGCTACCCGTCTTCCCTCATGCACATCTCATGATCTCCCCTCTCCCCTCTCCCCTCTCCCCGCACATGCAGAGCAGCTTTTGCTCTCATGCCGCCTGATGGATTTGCCGTGTACTGCCAACAATCCAAACGGTCAAGGTCATCATATGGGCAACACACGCAAACAAACAAACATACATACATAGTGTTGGCAGTCTGAGTCGGGGTCGGGAACACACAAGACTAGCCGACTTGTGCTGTGTGTGCTCCCGACCCTTGCGCTGTGTTTCGGCTTCGGCCCCCGGCTCTCGCGGCCCACAGTGTAATCTTCTAAGTCATACATACATACAGAGGTGGCCATACGCCCCCTGCACCCCCGCACTCCACGTCCCTTCTTCAGCACACAACAAGAGATAATACCCTCTCGGGGGGCTCAACAACGCACTGTAGACACTGACAAGAACGTAAAATAACAAACAGATAGACAGCCTAGGATCCCTGCCCCCATCCATCCATCCATCCATCCATCCCTCCACCGATCCCCTCCAATACTCACCGGTATGAGCCGATGCTGTTAATGCAGGCACAGCGATCACAGTTGCAGCCAGCTTGTCTGTACGGCGCATACGATATGGCGCATTCGTTGATGTCGTCACACATCTCGTCAGCTGCACCGGGGTTCACAGCCTACATACATAGATACATACATGTATACAAGCAGACAGACATACGCCGAGATACGAAGGAAAAGAACACAGAGGGAATCGAGCAAGGGTTGGGGAAATGCGTGTGTGTATGTGTTCGTGTACCTGTCTGTTCGCTTGTCTGTTTGTCTAACTAGGTACCGAGTACGTATACACTCTCTCCATTAATCACCAGAAGACATGCACATACAGACAACCATACAGTTGCACCACAGC